CATTTCATAACCAATCCAATATCAATAACTCTAAAACCAAACATCTAATGACAACATTTCTCAACAAGACTAGCATACTAAAGGCATCAAGACACAACATAGAAAAGCTTTAAGATGTTTTTAAAACTTCTTCCAAAATTCATGTCACAAAGGAAAATCATAAAAACCTATAGAATTAGGGGCAACCCTGCTACCCACACCCTAAACTATATAACTCACTCCCCCTTGCTTGGAAAGATGTTCTCCTCCAAGGCAAAGGTGCGACAATAAAGATCCTCAAACTTCCTTCTTCTCAAACGATAGTTTTACACTAGAAACATTTTTGAGAGCTTATTTACTTAAAAATGCACTTTATTTTTAGTAGAGATGTTTCCAAAAGCACTGCTAACTTGTATTTAAACAAACTTTAGTCAAACATTAGTAGTCACACTTAACACAATATGTTAATAGGACATCACAAAGGATTCACCTAAAAAACTATTAGGATGAAAATAAGGTCTCACATAATTAAAAAAGAAGAAAAAAAATAATTTATAAATCACACATATTCTATTGGTTAGAGACATTTAAGATAATAATCAAAAATAAAATTATGAAAGCTTAAATTCAAAGTAAATAATATTTATTATTATGAAATTATGTATATAAATAACCAATAAAATAATAATAAAAAAAGAGTTAATCATCTATACACTGTTAGTGTAAAATTTTTTACACTGACAACCAATCATATCTTTTAAAATTATTTATTTTATTATTATTTCATTAAATAAGCAACTGACATGACACTATTAAAAGATATGATTGGTTGCCAATATAAAAAAACTTTACACTGACAATGTATAGGTGATTAACTCATAAAAAAATAATCATTCCCTCTTAATAAAATATATCCCTATTAACAAATACTATAACATAACCCTAAAAATCTCATGCCTCATCACGCACAATAAATACTGCTCTAATTTTAACAAGAGTCCTACAAGTAAGCTTAAAAAGTATAAGGTAAACAACTTTCATCTTCTTTTGCAAGACATAGTCATTGCAAATTGGAACTTGGCTCATAGAAGATCATCTCCCATTCCAGAATCTGCGTCGAATATCTTTTATCTTGAACTAGTACCGATCATTATATATAAATAAAAGAATCATAGTATTTACTACACAAATTACCATAAGATCCCTTGATGTGTAATGTCTCCCTTTCTCTTGAAATATGCACACATGGAAAAAAATATATAAAAAACCTTCCTATAAAAGCCGTAGTTCTCTATACAGTTTATGGTCCTAAATCGGGTACGATTGTGACATGGAACCATAAGCTTGATTTTATGCTTAAAAAACGAAAACAGTCAATTTAGACTCGTGATATGCCTTTGACACGCTAAAGCAGCATCACTTGTTAGCCGCCTTTGGTTCTCTTTCCATTTTGTTTGCTGCAAATAGTAATTAAGCATATTAATCCACCTTTATGTACGCGTGTTAAAAAAAGTTAGTAACATGATTTTAAATATATCACTTGGTTTAGATTAGTTGTTTGAATAAAATGCACAAATTGTTATACATTTGTTATACCGATCGAGTTTGATTTTGATAAAATTAAAAAATTTATATTTCTAAATACATTATTTTATATTTTATTATTGAAAAAAAAGTTAATTTTATGTCTTAGTTAAAAGAAAGGTGTCAATGTTTTCCGGCGAAGTCCGCGTAAAATGCATCCAATAATAATATGTTAAAAAATGTGCACTAGATGGGTACAATTAAATTCATTCTTGGGTATCAACATTATTTTGATACGACTTATGATGATTTTTAGATGTAAAATAAATTTTGTGAAAAAAGTTTTTTTTTTTTTGTGTGTACTAACATTTTTTATTTATTTATAGAAATTAGTTATTTTTTTTGACAGTCGATATTCGTACTAATTCTAAGGTTATAAAAGAAAAAAGGTCATTCTTGAGTCCTAATATTGAAATAATCCCTTATTTTTGTTTTTATTTTATGGAACAAAAAAAACCACACAATTTTATTATTATTTAATATATATATATATATATATATAAATTTTTATACATTCAAAATAATTACTTTTTACTAACAAGTAGTCGGTTCGAGTGATACTAGACTCGATTTTTTTAAATAAGATCTCGAATTCGAGAATTACGTATGAAAACACGTGATTGAAAAGAAAAACCTTATTAGAGATGATCGGTATGATTTCTCGACAGAGATTAATCATCAACAAAATCAATTTATACTTCATATCAATAATATGGTTAAAAATAAAAATAATCACATTTTGTATACACTATAAAGAAACACACATACAAACACATGACACGTCATTTTAATTTAACTTAAAAATGACTTAAACATTATAAATTTCTATTTTTTTTTTCCTGCAATTGATGTGTATCAATTACTTTTTTTTTTACACACAGACATGACATGCCATTTTAATTCACTATAAAACGATAGTTATTCTCCGTTAAAGATCGTAAATGCAGATAAAATAAATATTTTTTAATATAATTTATTTTATATTCAATATCACGAAAACATGCTACTATATATTTTATACAAACTTTTCAAATAGTGTTTTGACACCGCTGATCTTAACATGGTAATGATGACATATTATCGGTACACCATTATCACACTTGGAGATGATTGTTTTTTCTGTGTGTGTGTGTGTGAATTTGCTCAGTGATTCTCCCAAGCAGATTGTGGGTACCACTTTTCCCCACCGATGATGTATGCATACTACTTTTCCATCTTCAAATTTGTTGACACTTTTCACCATCTTATACATGTATTGTTCAAATTGAATGCCCCTTCCTACCCAAATGCATTTCTTTTATCCATGGTGAAATGTAACACTAACAACAATAATACCAACGTATAGATGGTAATTCACATTTACCAAATCCGTTACATCTTGAGGGTGCGTGATAGCTTGTATAGTGTACCCATCAGGTTAATGTTATTAAGACAAAGTGATTCTAAAGGATAGGGGCAAAAGGAAGTGGCCTTAAATGGGATTCATTGCACACGCGATTCCTTAGAAGTCTCACACACTCGCACATATTATGAATGCAAAGATATGTTGTCAGTGTGAATATAGGGCTATGTTGTGTATGAGTAGCTAGCATGTCTAGTGTGATGCTTTTGAAGCCAGATCAACATCTTTCAATGCCTTGATGTAAGGGTTTGGTGGGGTTGAAGTGATTATCAATTTATCATCAACGATGCCAACAAATTCCCTTGTCTATGCCTGAAAGAGACCTCATTTCTACTCGTATAACGCGTTTTGTTTCATCTGTACGTTGACGTTGTGTAACATTATTTTACTTGCAACTTTTAGCCAAAGTACAAATATTACTTGATGTAATTACCGGGTGAGTCATATAAGCTTATATATCACTAGAGATTAATATTTAATAACCTAAGTATCCCACTTTGATTTTTCTATTATGCTAGAAAGAGTTTCTTTTCTAGGCACACATATATACTATACACACGCGTTTTACTATTTTTGTTGTTGAAGGTTAGAATATGTTTTAGCTTTTTTGTTTATCATTATGCTTTTTCGTCTAAGGGCAAAGTTAAGAAATCTAAGACAAAAACATTAAATACTATTGCTTAGGTTTTTTTTTGTTTTCCTTTCTTAATAAATATAATTTTAGTGTATCATATGCAATTATATGTTTGATATGGGGTGGCCTCATTTCAAAAGTTGTAATATATTGAATGTTGATTCTTTAGTGACCACTATATATTGGTCTATGGTAGATGGTCATGTCCGTGTATCCTAAAGTGGAGAAGACAGACTTGAGGAACATGAAATTCGGATTCGATTTTAGCTTGGTTAATTTACTCTGAGGAAAACGTGCACAAAATTATTGGTAATAGAATTTGTATTCTAGCTAATACATATATAATGGCATCGATCAACATCTTGGCTCTTTATCTATGGATAAAGCATAAAGTTTGTGTCTCCCATAACTTTTCCAAAAGCTTTTAAAATCTGCTTTCAGAACAATTTTTATCTGATTAAGTACACCAACAACATCACACTTAAAACAACATCATTACAAGAAAAAAAGGTTGATGTATTTCATTAAGAACAACTTGAATCGAATAACTTGATTAAATACGTACATTAACATGTAAATCATTTTTTTTTATTGATGTATGGATCCTTAGCCTGTATTTTTTATTTATTTATTTTTTTTTTATCTCTTTGAGCCTCCTAAAATTTTTGTATTCAGATTTGATGAGTATTCATTAATTATACTCTCCAATGTTAATAAAATTTTACTTAAAAAATAAAAATATAAAATATGCTAACAAGTAATATAATTTTTCCTTATCATCTGATTACAGTCCACTATTTAAGTTAAATTTAATAATTTTTATAATCATATCTTAAAAATCGTAATAATAATTAAACTAAAATAATAATATTATCAAGAATAAATAATTACCATTTTAATGATAATTGACTTATGTGGGACTCTTTTTCATTTTTGTGTTCAAAATACAAAACCAATTTACACAATCATGTTTAGGGAGGAAGGGACATGGACATATAATAATTATAAACTAAACAAATTTATGATTTTGGTGAATTTGAATTTATTTAAGTGTAGAAACCATGAGTATGAAATCCCACTGATTTTTGTACAAGTAATTGGTCAACCTGCAAAGGTTTGATGATGATAACCAGTTTTGGGGTAAACAGAGTTAGCAGGTAGTGGTTAGTGCATTTCCACAAATGCTGGTATCAGTTGTAAAGTGTGAGGAGGGTTCACATGGGAGCGTGGCAGGCACTGGCGCGTGAAATTGGAACCCTTGCCCTAAACTGCAGCAAATTATTATTTAAAAGTATGCAGCAAGAGAGAAAGCTAGGGAAGGGACCATATTTACTAAAATTAAATTGGGAAAAAGAGAATGAGATAAAAATAAGAATAACTGGGGTTTCCATTTTTTTGTAAAAGAAGATCAAGTGTGCCCCTTTCTGTGTTCATTGTCTATTTCTATATAGCACACTAACTTCCACTTCTCTGAAACACAGCATTATCTATCTCACAAGTCACAACTACTACTACTCTCTCTCTTTTATTATCACCCCTTTTGCACTAAATCTCACTCTCTCTTCTATATCAAGGGCTGATCACAGAACCTCAATATATTTCTAATAATAATTTGTAAAGTTTGAGTTATTGTTTCGAGACACACAGAAAAAGAGAGAGAGAGAGAGAAAGAAATGGGAAGAGGGAGGGTTGAGCTGAAGAGGATAGAGAACAAAATCAACCGCCAAGTTACTTTCTCAAAAAGAAGGAACGGTTTGCTCAAGAAAGCCTATGAGCTCTCAGTTCTCTGCGATGCTGAGGTTGCCCTCATCATTTTCTCAAGCCGTGGAAAGCTCTATGAATTTGGAAATGTTGGGTATTGTTTTTCTCTCTCTCTCAACTGCTAAAAATCTCACCTTTGCAATTGGTTTCCACTTGTTTAATTTAATTGGCTTTAATTACTCAAAGTTTTTATTTCATGTCCATTTTTGTGAGGTGCAAATCCCAATAGGTATTAAAATTTTAGATTTTGATCATATTGTGTGTGTGTGGTGGTGCTGAGGTAGATAGATAGATACCTTCTTCTTCTTCTCTCTGAGCAAACACACTTTCTTCCTTGCATCAGCTTCTTTCACCAAAATGGTCACTGGTTTCTGCTTCTTGCTTCCTTTATTTTGCCACGACTGAATTTGATGTTTTTAAGATTCAACAAACACACCCTTTGATCACTCACTTTCCACCCATTATTTTTTATTTTCTTTTGTCCCTTGTGTTCTTGTTCTTTCTATCAGTCACCGTTCTTGGTTATAACTTCTTTCTCAAACACATGCACCTGACACCTTCCTCCTGGCCTCTTCTCTCTCTCTCTCTCTCCCATAGGTTATCCTTTTCTGGATCTTGTGCCCTCTTTGATATCTTCCTCTCTTTTCCTTCTTTTCATTAATTTTTTTGCAATTGTGGGGTTCCAAATACATTAGGAGAATCATGGCATGGGTTTGAGAGGAAAAATATCATGAGTTTTGCTTTCCAATCACAGATCGACACGTTTCACCGTCCTTCCACCTGATATCTCTCTATTGTGAGGTAAAGGTTTCAGCTTTGCGCACTGATCTACTGATGAAACAGTACAATCTATCTCCTTCTTTCTCAGAAGGAAAAGAAGTAACAATAAAAACAGAAAAGGAAGAAAGCAATCATATGTACCCAGTTTTGTAACACAGTGCAATTAAATGGACGTGGTGTGTGGTGAGGTCAAATCCAAGGGTGTCGATAAGTCTCTTGTACCGTTGTGCAAGATCTAGGGCTTTCACATCATCTTCCAATTAAGAAAAATAGTATTGCTTGAAGGCCCTACTTTTCAACACCTCAAGAATCTGGTTCTTAACCTTTGTCTATATATATTCTTTTTAACCCTTCGATCTTTCGGTGCTATCATTGTATCTTCTCAGACACAATTGCTGTCTCTATTTCTTGAGGGGATCGATCATCAAGGGGTGTTTTTTTGAGTTTGGACTTTGCAATCAAAGATAGTTGCTGCTTTTTTTGTTGTCTTTTACTCTTAGGTCTTTTAGATGATCAAGTTATTCTCTCTCTCACACAGACAACCACACTCTCTCTCTTCCAAGGAATCTCCTTAATTAACCTGCACTGTTGTGTGCATATTTTTCATGTTTATGAAGGAATGATGGCTTATCCAGTACTGCAGAGTAGTTAGTTTAATTAGGTTTTATGTTTTCATCTTGCATGATGATAAATGATAATGTTTTACCAATAATTGGTCAACTACGAAGACGTGAAACAGTTTTTTCATTTTTTCATTTTTTTTTTTGCTTGAGCCCTAATACGTATATCTGAGTCCGGTCAAGGCATGGGTTGTTGAAAACATGAAAAGGGAAAATAAAGGAAAATATAATAAAAATACTAAATACTCTATTTTGCTTTTAGATTAAACCTAACATTAGAATTTCTGAATTCTGATGTGCTATAATACTCTGAATCCTGGGACATCCGTGGCAAAATTTCGCATGTGGCTGAAAGTTTGAGTTTATAGAAAGAGAAATTGTCCTTTTATTTACTTCTTTTTTCCGGATTGTGTTTTATGTTCTCTCCTATTCCAGCATTTAATTTTCTCCGAAAACAATTATCTAGGTGTTCTTTGGATATGTCTCAGAAATGATGCTTACGTTCAGATTTTTCTTTTTCGGTCGGCTTTAGTTTTTTACCCCTACCTTTGTCTTCATTAGAAATTAGCGTAATGATATATGTATTGTTTTTTCAATCAACAATTTTTGTTTTCAGAGAAACTCTTTCTGAATCTATGAGCGCCATTTCAAAATTTGTAGATTATTTTGTAATGTTAACTTTGTTTGTCATGGAATAAGATTTATTCAAAGTATATAAAATTATTCATGAATTTGTGGAAACTGGAAAAGGTGTATTCGTACTTGATTTGAAACACTTGCCGTAATTTCTCCATTTATTTTTTTTTTGTCAAAATATATATAAGCATTGGATCTTCTTCACTCGTTGCTTCAAACAAATCTATAAGCATTGTAAGTTCAATTGTTCATAATAAACCAAAAGGATGAAAGGTAATCTGTTTTTATTTATTTATTTATTTTTTGAGAACGAAAGGTAATCTGTTAAAAAGCAACTTAGCTAAATTTCATTAAAAATTTTAGAAAACTTAATTTATTTGTTGACATTGGTTTTGTACGGGATATTTGGTTAATTTGATATGGAACATTTCTGCAGGCTATGAGCATATCTGGTTTGTCTGCAATCAGTTTTGTGTACAATGTATAATTACATACTGTAAAATAGTAACTTTTAAAGATTTTTTTTTTTTTTTGTATATGTCACATAAAAGTGAATGTATAAGAATAAGATTATACGCAGTTGTTTAAATAGTTTTTTTTGGTGTGAACCAAAATAAAAATAAAAATTAGTGTTTTGTGTACATTTATTAAATTTCTAGTGAAGAATATTAATTAATTGGTAAATTATGCACAAAATTAATTTACGTAATGAGTTTAAAAAAAACTTAAAAAATGCTTTCCACACATTAATTTAGCCCCAAATTATTTTGTGATTCATAATATATTCTGCAAAATGATGCATTATCGATCTTGTGCAAACCCTATATATGCCCTATATTTTAGAACTTGAACTTTATAATTCACGTATGTCCTCCGTTTGAAACTTTAATTACTAATCACTTCAGCCAACGGAGTCTTTCAAAGCTAAACCTAAACGTAAAAAAAAAATGAAGTCTTTAACTTCCAACGAATAATAATTGAATTTCAAAACACATGTAGTTTTGTTTACATACAAATTTCAATGAATCAAAAAACTTTAAAATGTTCACCATCGCCCACAATTCCTAGTTTTATTATTTTTTGTTGTGTCTCCTTAATTTAATTATTTTAATATCCTATATAAAACATCAAGTGTCAATGTTTACACAACTACGTACACTGCATTTTATTACATATTACAAATACTGACCAATCAGTTTCCTTAAATTCGCAGCATTACCAAAACTATTGAGCGATACCAACGTTGCTCTTTTACTCCTCAAGATGAACACGTTGAATGTGAAACTCAGGTATGTGTTCACCAACTCTTTCTGTCCAAATTTTCTACCTACTTGCAACTTCCAAGGTATATCATTTCACTTAAATTTTTTGCCTTGTGTCTTCTAAAAATATTTTTCTGCTACTGCTACTTAAGCTTTTCTAAATTTCTTTCATGAGATTTTTTTACAGCTACCGGTTAATAATTAGGTCTTTGGCCCTTTAAAGCAAAAGGGTGACAAAGGACAATAATCAATATTAAGCACACTTTCCTTCTTTCCATTCATTAATAATATATTTTTTAAAAAAATGCAAAAATATAGTCCTATATATCTGCAATGACATAGTATATATTCTAAGTTCTTATTAATGATACGATACATCTCTAAATATAATAGCAGATATTAGATCTTGTCAGTGAAAATATTTAGGAATTTTTGTTTTGGTAATCAGAGCTGGTACCAAGAGGTGTCAAAGCTAAAGGCAAAGTATGAGTCTCTTCAAAGGACTCAGAGGTAATCACTTATGCCTCTTCTAAAGTACAATAGAATTTTATTATACCTTCTGATGAATATATTATAATGTTTTCAACAGTCACATGCAAATGTATGTATGTTAATCACCAACAAAAAGGAGTTAATATTGGTAGCAGAGGTTAGAAAATCCTAACCACCACATGTGAAAAACTAAATTAATTTTCCAATATGTACTAGGCATTTACTCGGGGAAGACCTTGGACCATTGAACATAAAGGAGCTGCAGAATCTTGAGAAACAACTTGAAGGGGCTTTAGCACAAACTAGGCAAAGGAAGGTGCGGACACATATATAGAATTTCTCTTTATTGCTCTCTGGATTTCATGTTGGTACTTTACCTTAATTAGGTTGTAAAGCATGTGCTTGTTTGCAAGAACTGACAACAATTATTCCAGTAGTTGAAGTAGACTATACATCATACTCTCTGTGATATGTATGTATATGCGTACGTATAACCACATGTTAAACCAGCTATTTTTTATTTTCTTGTCAAAACCCTAATTTGTACTTCTACAGTAAGTTAATATAACGATATCAATGAAAGAAAAGTGAATTTATGAAGATAAAACAAACCATATACTTCCTTCAAAGTATTTTCCCCCTTCTTTTTTTACTAAGGATTCTATAGATTCTTTACATATATATTTCAGTATTTTTTTTTACTGAAATCCAAACTTCAAAATAGAGGAAATTTTGAGATTAATGGCTAGTATTCAAGAAATATTCCTTGATTTAGATGTGCCATATTAAACTTCTAATTGTGAGACTCGAGAGAAAATAATATTAACTAAATGGGATCGAAAGCAATCTTGGTAATGACAAAGTTTCTAAACAAATTTATTGTTCGAAGCTTTAAATGGAAATCTTGATAAAGGTTTTGCGTATTTCATAAAGAGTTGGTTTCAATCTGATTTGCACACTATAAGTTTGTACCACCAGCTGACCTTAATTAGAAAGAAATATTGATTTTGTATGACATTATTTAAATTTTATTTTAATTGCAGACACAAATTATGATTGAACAAATGGAAGAGCTTCGCATAAGGGTAAGAAATGTTACACATGCACACTTATTTTGGTCTTAAAATTTTATTTTTCTTATCTATTGTCAAAAAAATTTCTTTTAACAAAAGTCAATTATTGTCCAAAGTGTGCATTTGAAAGCAATTCGAAAACTTAATTTACACTTTAAATCAGTATACTCGTTCATACTATTTTTATTAAGCTCGAAAATTTTCTCAATTTTATAATATATATTTTCATCCATCTTGCAGGAACGCCAACTTGGAGACATGAACAAGCAACTTAGACTTAAGGTTTTGCACTTTAACAACCTAACAATTTCAGTGTAGATGTGCAACATTCTAGGGCAGGATACATGTCTTGCAAAATTTTTCTCAATTAATTATCACATTATATATATATATATATATATATTTTATCAATTAAATCTGTTTTCAGCTTGAAGCTCAGGGGTTTAATCTTAAAGCTATGGAAAGCTTGTGGAGCTCCACTTCAGCTGCTGGAAATAGTGGCTTTCCCTTTCAGCCTCCTCAAAACAGCCCTATGGATTACCAGGCAGAACCCTTTTTGCAAATAGGGTAATGAAAATCTGCTTTATGCATAAGATATTACACCAACAGTTAAATACACAAACATGTATAATATGGTCTCTTGTGTTCATAAATTTTTAGCAAAGGTAATTAATGTGAAATAAAATTAACATTACAAGAACAGACGTGCTTCTTAGGCTGGTTATTGTCCAACAATTACTAACTCGATCACACTTCAAACCCTTAAACAAACTTTTGTAAATAAGTAAATTTAAAATATGAACATTTATACACGTTTATGCTAACATATTACAAATGTATGAGGTACATTAATTGACAGAATTTTTTGATCAACTTTATCCATGTTAAGTTTCAAATTGGTGTAGGTGGTTTTTGAAAATAGAAATTTATGTTATATACACTTTCAATGGTCAAAATTTTAATTTAACCTCTTAATTACTTTGAACAGGTATCATCAATATGTTCAAGCTGAGGCATCTAATGTTTCAAAGAGCATGGCTTGTGAAACTAACTTCATGCAAGGATGGATCCTTTGATCAATCATACTTAATAATTAAGTATATGATTTACCCTATTGTTTATATGCTTTTTAGATTTGTGTTTTGGATGTACCTTTGTGGCCAGCAAGTTGCAGACTTCTTTAGTGCTTTCTGAAATTGGATACAAGTACAGACAATGGTTTTACTATATGTTAAAGCAATGCTATTGTTTTGAACTTTAAATCTATATACGTGTATGTGTGTCTCTCTCCTTATCTCATCAGGAAAACCTTTCTCTATATACAGTAAGACAATGAAAAATCAAAGGAGAAAAAGACAAACAAAGTGAGAGAGGCAAAGCAAGGAACGAGTTGCTTTTGTTAAGAGAGTTTTTCATCAATTATCTTTCTTATTTGAATATTTGAAATCTTTTAACATTATCAAAATTTGAAAGAAAAAAACACATATTAACAAAAATAACAATGTAGGATTTTGAGGATTATATGTGATGATTCCTTTTCCACTGTCGCTAAATTAACTTTATCGATTAGAACAAGCAAATTTTATTCAAAACCTTTTTTTCCCTTTTTATTTTTAGCTACTCAAATATTTTGTGACTATTAGAACAACTCCATGCTTCTTAATTTTAATAATTGGTTCTTATAAGAATTTTTCATTAGAGCATGCTTAGTTGGTAATCTTAAAAATAAGAACTAGCTCTTATATATATAAGCAATTAGTCTTATTCTTAAAATACTACTTTTCTTCCTAACTCTTCCTTTGATCAAGAAATCACTATCATTGGAGTAAATAAAAAAATTATAAAAGTAGTTGTTTATAAAAAAATCACCATTGGAGTAAATCTTATAAAAAATTTAAAGTGGTATTAAGAAACTTAAGTGAGTTACTTATAGAAATCTTCCAGTAGGATGCTCTAACATGTCTGAGAGAGACGAATATTATCATTTAGAGCAAAGAAGCTAAAATTAATATACATTGTTATATTATTCTAAAATTCATAAAATGTTAAATAAATTATTGAAAGTGTAATTATAACTTGTGACTTGAATGTTAGCTAATATTATACATATATACCAGTAGAGTCAAGACATTTTATATTTCTATGTAATAAAAAATAAAAATAATAGAAGTTACAATATGTAGATCAATTGAGATAACGTATAATTAAAAAAATAAAATAATTTTTTTAAAAAAATTATTACAAAATAAGAAGTAGTTATTATTGATAAATTTTTTTTATCTATTTTACCTTTAAAAAAATGATGGTAAGAGAAAATTAATATATAATAAAAAGGTATAAATATCTAAAATATATGTGAAAACTAAAGGAAAGTATCCCATTATATATAATATAGATAGATTAAAAATTAAAATGATTTAAATGCTAAGAATTTAAGTTTAAAACCTTATTTTAAAATTTAAAGACTAATGTGATCATCTCTTTCACTTTTAGGGATTAAAATCACTTTTACTATATAATTTAACTAATGTCCGGTTTAAGTGATAGTATAATTTCAGTTTTTTTTTAACTTTAATTTGAAAATTGGAAAAGTTAGATAAAAAGATTAAAATGAGTTTTAGAATTATATTTACTTACTTTTATAAGAAGAAAAAAAATAACTTTCTTACTTGTAGAGTTAAATTTTATTTTCTTTTAATATTTTTCGTAAGAGAAATATTAGCAACACATTTTATAATACTTTTTTTTTCTAAAACAAGTTTGTCTCTTATTAATAAGGGATATTGGTAGTCTATATTAGAAAAAAAAAACTAGAAGAGATAAACATTTAAAAAAATAAGGTATATAAATAAGTTGGAACAAAAGAAGAGTAGTATGAAATAATCAGGTGATTTTATTTTTGACTAATTGTGAAATTAAATTATATTTAAAAAGAAGATTAAAAAAATATATTTGAAATGGATAAAAAAAATTAAATGCTTAATATATAATAATAGAATAAGATGTGTGACTCAAAGAAAGTGATAAAAATTCTAGAAATACTTTTGTTAAATTCATCCCGACAGTGGTTTTAATTAGGAGTTTTTTTTTTTCAATGAGAAAATTTATATATATTTTTAATTTCTTATCTAATTTAATTTTTAAACAAAACATTTTAATTGAAACAAGGAACATTATCAATGTATGTATAGAAGGTTCTTAGTTTTTGCAGATTTTATAATTTAATTTTTATTTATTTATTAATTAAATATTAATATTTAAATAAATTATCAATAAATTTCTTTGATAATATAAATTATTTATTATAAATTTAAAATATATAATTTATATGTTTAAAATATATATTTGTACAAATATAATGCACAAGATTAAATACTAGTAATATAGCTTCTACTAATCAAAATGAGACAATTGACATAATAAACAATTACAAAATTAAAGTATACTATGACAAATAAAAATAAGAAGAGATAGTGTCAACATTGATTAATATAAGTGATAGTGATTTATATCTCTTATTCAAATTATCCAAAATTTGAATATTAACTTTACATATGGAAAAAACTATGATAAACACTTTATACTTATATCATGATTAAAAAAAAGAGTAATTTTTTTTAGGATTAATTGTGAAATTAAATTAAATTTAAAATTAAGATTAAGAAATATATTATTAAAAATAAGATCAAATAGTTAATATATGATATTAGGATTAAACATGCAATTCAATGAAAGTGATCATAATTCTTTAAAAAAAATTCAATAATAATTATAAAAAAAAACCTTCCACAATCACTATCGGTCAAAATGAAAATTCTAATTTATAATATAAGAGCATGTTAAAGTATACAACTTATAGAGTGAAACTCTCACTTAATTTTCTCACTCTCAAATAGGTGTTTTTATTAACAATATATTCTTCTCCTTCTAAATTACATTACACAAACTATTATGTAACAAATATTCATGGATTAGATTGATTTTGAGATAAAAAAAATCATCCAATATAATTTTTTGATTTTAATCTTTGATCATCCAATAAAAAATAAATTCATTTTGATCTAATCTAAGTATATTTCAATTTACATTAGATTGATTTTCGATTTATCAAACATAATTATAATATTTCGGTTGAAAAAAGTGACAATCAATGATTTTAATTTTCAAGCACCTCAATAATTAATATTTTTAATTTACTATACTATATAAATTAAAAAAAAATTACATTGACTAATCAAATAATTTTTATCCCCTAAAAGAAAGATGAAGATTAAGTTTAATGTTTGTGGTAGAATAGTGGACACCGAAGAATAATTTAAGTTGGTAAGTGACAAATTTGTATATTGGACAATTATTTTAACCGGTTAAAAGAAAGTAAAGACAAAAGCAATAAATATTATTTTACGTATAGCTGATAATTTAATTTTACATGTAAAATTTGATAGATTCAAATTGTTCGAAAAATTATATAATTATAATTTTAAGAATTAAAACTGGTCAATTAAAATTTTAGAAATTAAAATTATATAATTATTATATTTTAGAGAACAAAAATTCATTTAGGTCTTAATCATAAGAAAGTATTTGGTTTAACTTTGAATATTTATTAGAACTGAAAATCAATCTAATACAATTAAAAAAAATCACTTTTTAAAGTTTTCAATTATTTTTTTTGAGTTATTACTATTTATTTTGAACTACATTAATTATAAACACCTCTACTATCATGCCACTAACATAAATATTTTTGCCAAATATCTCAAATAACTTTTCTTTTATCCTTATTGGTGCAACTTCTCAAGCAACACTATTTTGTTTCTGTCTCTAACAAGTGTCAAAATGAATAATACTTCATATATATGATAATTCTAACAATGTCAACAAATATAAAATTGAAACATTAGTGTTAAAAGGTGAATGTATCATAGCTCTTAATAACCTTGATTTGATGACTCATGTTGGTATAGTGGTATATCAAAAAGTTTCACATCAATTAAGTGTCAAGAGTAACGGAAATGTATAAACACATTTCTTCCTCAATTCACTAAAATGTCTTTTTAAGAATAAAAGTGTAATGACTTAACGAACACCAGAACATATACTAGTAACCCTAACAATATTAAAGGAATTGAAGTAAAAAAGGAAAGAAAAAAAAACAACACATGATTGGACCCAATAGAAAGCTTAGACCCCTTAAGCTTAGACCCCTTAAGCTATATATAGATCCTAGGTTTGATTTTGTGAAAGAAAAAAACTGTGGTTGAAAATAGAAATTTTATTAAAAGTAATTAGTTAAGTTCTTTGATGTTGATTAATATTAACAATATCAATGAATATTACACACTAATAACATTATGACCTTAAAAAAAATCAGGTTATAAAAGTAATGTTTTAAAAAATGAAAGAGATATGACCAAGCATGTGAATCTCTTAACATATAGTGATTATACTTTAATTAATAGTCTCAAGTTTAAGCTTTAAATATGTAATTATATTAAGCACACGAAAAGGAGAATTTATTTTTTCATAATAATCTTATTTAACTCAAAACAATATTATTTTATGTAGAGGATATATGTGGCTAAAAAAAAGTTAAATGGTTAAATGTATTTTTAATCTTATTGAAATGAAAAAAATTTGATTTTAATTTTTGAAAAGTTTTTGTTTTGTTTTTATCATCATAAAATTTGAAATTATTGTTTTAATTTTGTATAAAATATATAAATTTTAATTTTGACCCTTATAAAAAAAGTCTTCATTCCTCCAATATATAATCTTTTAAAACTTATGATAACCTATACTAATATATAAAGAGAATACTCCTTTTAACAATCATCTTAATTTCCACATTTTGTTGACCGTTAATCCTTTCATTTAAAAAAATTAAAAAAATAATATCTTTTTTTTTTTTTTATCAAAATCAAGACCTTAAACTTAATAGAATAATCATATTACTAGATTAACATATATTTATTACTTAATTTTTATTTTTATTTTATTTTTAATAAAGGTACAAAGTATTTCGACCTCACTAATATAAATAATCGGAATAAGAGTGAATTTTTTATTCAGAATTATTTTGGCTTAATCACAGTGGTCTTATCCAACTTAAAAATATTGTGGGTGGCATTTATAAATTTTATCATGCCTAATTATATTAATAAACTATAATATTATAGTCTTATAAAAAATTAAAACAAATGTAAAAAAAAATATATATCGAAGGAGGATCAGAGTATCCTTGTTCCGTGAATTAAAAAAAAATACAAATAAAAAAATAGTATGCTTGTTCTTTCCATCCTTAGAATAATGATAAATTTTCTTATATTTTTTTTCTAGTAATATCTTTAATCAAATGAAGAAAATTTTAAATACATTTTATATATTCGAGATGTTAATGTATTTTATACAAAGTGGTAAGTAAATTGATAAGGGTTTAATACTCTTTCTGTCTTTGTACTTTTTAAATTTTATTTTTTAGTTTTTATAATAAAAATATTTTATCTTAATCTTTATATATACATTTTTTGCTTTTTTTAATCTTTATAGTGTTATAAAAATATTTTTTAATTTTTATAATAATATACTATAGAACTAAAAAATAAATTAACATATTGTTTACTATAAAGATTAAAATAAAATAAATTAATGAATCTATAAAGAGGAAATGATTATTGAACCATTGTTTTAAAAAAAAAGTCACAAAAAAACAAATAAATTGATAGAGTATAAAATAAATATAGCAGTCCGAATATCCATGCAGTTCTGACACATGAGACTTTAGCGTACTTCTTAGCTTCTCAACTTCCTTGTCCCAAAGCTGAACTCTGCTATGAGTGCTACATATGCTTACCATTTAATACTCCGTTTGTACTTTGTTTTTTCTTTCATTTTTCTTCCCTTTCAAATTTATCTCAACACCAACTTATTCACTTCAATAATGCATCATGCATACCAACCTTCATTGTTCCATCTAACAAACTCACCTAACATTTCTCCCTCTTGTGCCACATTAATTTCCCATGTTTCCTGCATAATATGGCGAGGCAAACAAGGAACTTCAAAAAGGTGTGTGTTTCGTGAAGTTTCTCATATTTGTCACGATGGTAGCAATGTGTAGCTCTCACAGATCCAGAAATTAAGCCAAAGATTCAAGAATTTTGAGTTTCTTCCCACATTGTGATCTTCAGAAAAAAGCAACTTGGTGATAAAAAAATATAAAATTGCAGGGTGCTGCTCCTGTTACAAGTTCCTCTTTTGGTATGGCTTTTAGCTATTTTCTTCGATTCATTCATGCCCATTTTGGTTATTTGGCTCATTGGTGCTGTGTCAGTGTCAACCATGAATATCTTGAGTTTTGATTGGATTTTGTCTTTTTGTTTTGGTTTATGTTTCAATGCTAGTTTTGATTACGAAGAAAGTCGTATGGAACGAAATGAGGTGACTTACGAAGTTAGATGAGTTCTTAGGGTTTATTTTTTGTCATTTATTTAGAAAATAACTTTGTTAGAAGAACTTTACTAGGTCTTTATCTACTTGATCTTATTTTAAAAGAAATTAGTCTAAGTAACCACAAATAGAAGAAAGAAAAAAAATGAGGTTTTGTTCTGAATTTGGTATATAGATCTTTAGTTCTGATTGGTTCTAAGGCACTATTCTCCATTTTAAGTTTTTATTTTTTATTTATTAAAAACTGTACTTTTTCTTTAGTTTCTCCACATGCCTGTTTTGATGGTTGTGTTCAAGTATTTGCTTGTTGAATTCCAGAGTTTGGATTCTCAGTAGAGCCAACAATCTCGACTGGGGTTATTTCTCCCTTCAAAAATCAAAATTCCATGTTATCACTTTTTTGATATCATAATGTGTAGTTTATTTATTGCTAAAGCTTGTTTTTTCCTTATTAATTATTCTTTTTTGTTTTTCTTAAGTCCCAAATAATTAATAATAATTAAGTAAATTAGTTAATTTGATTATTAACATTAAATTTATTTTAAGTTATATATTTTCTTAAAATTATGTTTAATATTAATGCAACATACTCTTATTTAAAAAAAAATTGTATTAATTTTAATATCCTGCTTTTGTTGTCTCGTGATTTTGGGGAATTTTTTACCTATATATTATTTTTTTTAAAAAAATTACCCAATTAACAACTGTGCAGGTTTATTTACCAAGTTAGAACCATTCACTGTTCAAGCTCAGAATTCAGTTCCGGGAAACCGAATTCTGAGCATCAAAGTATTATTTTTTTTTGTTTTTTCAACTCAGAATTCGGTTCCCGGGGAACCAAATTCTGAGTTGGTTTTATATATATTTTTTTCTTCGTGCATG